TTTTGTTGACACCAACATTTTGACCCAGCGCTTGCCTCTCTGATGGACACACCCAGCGGTCACCTGTACGTGGCTGCAGGAGGCGTGGCTGCATGAATGTCCTGTAGCTGCAGGGTTTGACCTAATTAGACTCAGAGCCCACTTTTTTTTCATTTCTTTTAAATTAAGTCTTTTAAATTAAGTTCTGCATTGGTTTATGCCTCTCAGTTGCCTAATTTCTAACCCCTTACCTAGTAGAATATATCCAGTATCATAAACAGGCCTAATATTCTGTACTGCATTTCTAAAGCCGAGAGTTTAGTAATTTCTCCTTAGAGGGGTTGCGTGGAGGATCCTTCCCAGTCCTTTCCTGCAGCTTTTCTCACACACCAACATCCACCTGCGGACTGGGAGTTTTCTGAAAGGCTACTTATTTCCGGAAAGCTGATGCTGTTTTATTTTCTTACCAAGGTAAGCCCCCATTTACTTTGGTAACATGTAGTAGTCGTTGTTCATCAAGTGTTTAATGCTAAGGTAACATTTAGCCCTGCTAATTTTAGCTTGCTAATGCTTTTGGTTTTTGTGTACAGCAAAGTAGTCAAATGTCATTCTAAAGAAAGTCGGGAAAAGCCGAAGAATCTGAAGTTCTTCAGTAGCACAACAACTTTGAATCAAGCTTTGTATTTCCTTCTTCCTGTCATCTTACATTCCTCTCTCCTACTTGAGATTTCCTCTTCACATACAATTGTACTGACAATGCTATATTTACATAACATTTTAAAAATGTAAATATATATTGATCAATATTTCATGTTAATTTCAGGTATTTCTAAAAAAGATTCACTTATTTCAGAAATAACCTTTGACCCCAACGACCTCATTACTTAGAGCCATGCAGCACTCACTAATCAACCTATGTCAGCTGAATTTTTAACATAAGGCAGGTACAAATTGATTTTGGATGGGCTTCATTTTTGTTGCTTATTAAGATCTTTATTGCCCTACTTTAGAGTGGGCATCTTACAAAGATCGCACCTGAGTGATGCACGAAAATGTTCTGTTCTGTGAACTGAGCAGTTTGTGACTGTAGCTTAGGAGGAGTTGGTCTAACAATAACCAGAAGAACCTAAATAAAACAAACACAGAATTAGTTCAACGAAGAACATGCATGTTTTGGAACAGCCAAGTCATATAGTGCTGAATGTGCCTTGAAATGCTCTGGGATGACCTGAAGAGGGCTGTTGAATCAAGAAAACCCCAAATTGTTGATTAGTGAAGTAAATCTGTTTGCAGTCGTAGTCAAAACCTATTCCTCACTGCCATGTAAATCTCATGAGCAGTTAGAGGAATGCACTGGACCTTTTTGCTGTTATAAGAGGCTGCACTAAATTCAGTGGTTCTTTTTCTTTCTTTCTTTTCTTCTTTTCCCCCTTCTGGCCTGCATGTTTGAATGGGGAAGAAAGTACAGTGTCAGTCATCAATGCAGAAAGTATTGCAGTTATCCAGGACTGCAAATCTATAATGTGGCACAGATTGTTGTTCTTTCATTCTGGTGTTCACTCTTTCCATCATCTCTGGGTTTAAACAGCAAAAGATACATAAGCTATGCTGCGGTGTGTTTGTAATTATCAGATAAAATTATTAGTCAAAGTTAACTTTTTCTCTTTATTTCGTTACATACAGTAACAAACATTAGAACTAAGATATGGAAAAATTCTGTCCCCTTGGTTTGTTCTGCTACTCTAAGAATATGACTTCATGTGCACATCTATAACACCCCACTTGCAGAAAAATGCTGAGGGTTTTTAGTGAGGGAGCAGCATTAAACCACATCACTGTGTGCTGGCAGC